CCGTTGGTTGGTAAAACAACAAAGATTTAATGCTCAAGTTGAATTAAAATACACTTTGGAATCTGATTTCTAACAGCAATCTTGTTTTGCCCATTCCTTTTCATTCTCAATTGTGTAATATTTATCTATTCACTTCTTTTCTGTTAAACTCTTTTGACATTGTTTTCAGTAATAATAATACAATACCACCAAATCTTACATTTGAACAGCTCCTTACTATATACATTACTTCATTTGATCCTCATAACTAGCCAACAGGGAGAGAACTTGCTTAAGGTCATGCAGCTAATAAGTGGCAGAGTCAGAATTTGAACCCAAGAATTTTGCCACTGATGTAATGTGCCCTTTCCATTTTAACAGTCACTTCTCTGTTTTGCAGATTCGAAGACATGCTTTAGAAGGTTTCAAGACTGAAAACAGAAAGGCGGGGATTGTTTTTGGTTCTCTGCCTATATACAGGGTGAGTTGGAGGTATTCAGGACTAGATTTGTTACAGAACAACAGGGAACCTGACATCTCACTCCTGAACCTGGGCTACCGAGCAAGGTTGGGGAAAACTGCATAACCAAGCAGAGTGATGCTTCCACAAACATGTATAACCTCAACCTCCACCACATTCTCCCATGTTCCCCATATTCCAGCTAAGCTAACTTACTTACCATTCCTTAAGCATCACTGTTCTTCCCTTTTCTGGGACTTTGCCTGGACTTCCCCTCTGCCTGTAACTCATCCACCTCTTGTTTCCCTCCAAATCCCTACTCATCCTTCAAGTCTCCAATTCAGAAAACCTGTTAAATTAAAGAATTAATTATTAACCTAGGATAATAAACCAAAAACCAAATATTACAACTTAATCTTAACCTATAGTTTCTTAACATGTTGTTTCCCTTTCCCAAGAACATGCTGATACTGATTACAGGTATCAAACACTTAAACTACAGACAGGGCTAAAGGTACAGCCTCAGAATTAATAGTGGGCTACTGGCAAAGTGGGTATTTTTGAAAGCAGTTGGACCTTATCACTCCCTATCCCCCACCCCTGAATTCACAGAAATTATCACTTTAAATATGTCTTACTAACTTTATATATGGCTTCTAGATACCAAGCCCCCCTAGTCTAAGACTGCTTCCACTAATTGGTTCAGAAGCACAAATGGAGTCTCCAGATGGCATTTCAGGAAAGAAGAAGGGGCGTCATGTTCAACATGAAAAAGTAAGTTTGTACTTAGAATTCCATTCTTATCCCATTTCTGTTTCAATTGTTACTTATTTCTGGACCTAAAATTATCTCAAATCATACTCTGTTTAGAAATACTCGAAGATTTTAGCTCAGGGAGGTGGAAATCATGAATTTCTTGGATAGAGAGAAAAATCAAACAGGACCTCTGATCTGAACAAATAAAACCTTCCTACAGCTAATTTAAGACTTAGGTTTACTAAGCTTAAAATCCAGGCAGTATGACATGACACATCTGGGGACTGTATAGTCACCGTTTCTTCCTAATCCTATTGTACTGCAGGATGGAAACAAGACATCAGTAAGTTTCTGGCTCACCAGCCAAGTCGAAGAGAATGTTTCCCATATATTAACAGGAATAACTAACAAATAAAACTTTACAGTTTACATGGTGTTTTTATAAATGATCCTCTTGATTTTCACAATCACAAAGAAAATGTTATACCCATCATAGAACTGGAAAAAAGCGGAGCCAAAAGGGAGGTTTAGTGACTTAACAAAGATCACATAAGAATTAACTGACAATCTGAGGTCAACTTCTGACTCCAAATTTCATGCTCATTCTATTAAACCATACAGCCTAAAAAACTCAAATCCTATTACTCTTTTACTAGTTCTAGGAAGTTTATATGAGCCTAACTTAACCTGTGGCATTTATCTAGTCATTAAAATACATCAAACATTAAGAGGAAAATCTAATATATGGTAATTTTTATAAGCCTCCACGCATGTAGTCAATAAACACAGAAAGGAGATAGTTATTGTTTGTGCTTAATCGAACAACAGATAACAAATACAACTACAACAAAAAGCTGTTTTATTTAATATAGAAAACTTCACATAATTTTGTTATCTTGTGCACTTAATGAGAACATGAATGATTCCTGTTAATCATCGATCTACCAATTATTTGAACAAAAATTTTTGGCAACAGTAGAGTTTTTTATAAAAATAAGAGTTATTTTAATTGTCTTAAGTAATGGATGAAACACAACCTAGCAAGCTCCTTAGTTTCCTGTTTTTAACCAAACTTTACAGATTGGGCAGTGAATCCTGCTGCCCAGTTAAGTAGTTCTAAAGTTTACCTTGTTCCACTATGCCTTTCTGGAGCCCTGCCTCCTGGTTGTTTTGTTTTGTTTTTTAAACACATTTTTACCCCGGAGGCACAAAGAAAAGTTAAGTAAATTATACTTTCTTTCTAGAAGGATTAAGATCTCTAAAAATTAGTGGTACAATTTGACTCTAGAAAACTGTCATAAAATGACAGTTACTGACATGTCCTTTATTTCACAGACACAACGGAAGAAAAGTCTGAAAAGAAATTTAGTCCCGCAAATAAATCTGACTTCTTCTTTCTTCCCAAGCATCCCCAAATGAAGAGAGAAAAATCAGAAGTGGCTGTTTTGGCCTGAGCTGTACATCAAATGGCAAGGTCTGACTGATACTCTAGTCTTTATCTCAGGGTGAAAGTGAAGGGTCCATCAGACACTGTCACCCATCTCTGTATCCTCAAGCCATCCTACTGATGGAGATGATTACTCAGGGAGCTCAGGTGGCCTCAGCTCTGAGTATGAAGCAAGCAGCAAGCAGCCCATTGGCCAACTTATTTCATAAACAGAAATCCACTTACTGAATAGGTGATATTTCTTGTTTACTGTCAGGAAAATGACACATAAAGAAACAAAGAAAATCAATAGCATAAGTAGATGTAATCAATGACTAGGTTTCCACTTCCCACCATTGTTAACCCTAATTCATAACCAGAATTATTATTAGAAGGTAAGCAATAAGAGGCAAATTAATTATGTGTCATGCTTTGCGGACTACAAAGAGAATTATTAAAAAGAAAAATGTGCCCTGTCTTTTTCATTTAGGGCAATGTCACATGGAAGAAAATCCCAGTAACTTTGGGAAACTAAGTAAATTTTTTATTCATATGAAGTGTATACACATTTCTTTTTATGTTTACTTCTAAATACCCCTCCCTCTCTGACCTAAGTTAGGTTCTTCCCATTTTTTTATTTTAACAATATTCCTAAGACAACAACCAGGTCTAGAGTATCATGAGGACCGTAAGCTTCACCCCAAGTGGCCACCAAAGTCAAAAATGTCTTTATAGTCTGTGCACCGTAGGCCCCTTTCCATGGCTGTTTGGTTATAAAGTTTCCCCAGGTTTATGCCAAAGGTAAACAAAGCTGGACACTACGTAAAGTGGTCAGGACAGATTTTAATCAATAATATATTGCAATAGGGAAAAGCACCCAGCATGAAATGAACTCACCCTGGATTTGTACAGAAGTGACTGGGCAGTTTAAAGAGGGAATGGGACTGTGCGTGAGTGATAGCTCAGCAGCCAGGGAGTGAAACATTTTTTTAAAAATCGGGAAGGGAGAGTTGGAGACTCACTTGGGACTGCTAACCAGAATTTGTGGAAGTCAGGCACCTCCCCTCCTAGAGACGCTGGGGGAAGAGATCCTATCTTCAGGTGGTGGCTGGAACAAATGCTAAATTCTTTTGGCAGCCTTGAGCTTTCTCAGGCAGGCACTTTAAGTGGGGCTGGGGTCACCCTACGGATGAAGACTTGATGTTAAAAACCATGTTGCTGTTTGTTTAAGTCTTTATAAGCCAAGTCTGAGACCTAGTTAAGAGGGCAGACGACCCTGGCCGGCCTGGTCAAGGAAAGACTGTCTCTTACCAGTTCAATTACTTAGCAGGCACTCCCTCCCCTTCCCAAAGGGGAAGGGTCCAAGGAGCATATACCTCAAGCTGCACCTTCTGTGTGCCTGGAGCCCATGTGTAGCTGCCTGTGAAGAGCCGAGATTAGCAGCACAAGGACTAGGGGAGATTTCCAGCCGGGACTCCTTTTCGGTTTAGAGACCTCAACACAAACACGCGACGGCGCTCTCTGAGCTTCTGCGCCGGGACCCGAGGCCGCAGTCGGGAGAGCTCCACGACTCCCAGCAGTTTGGGGAAGAGCTCGACGCGCTTCCCGGGCGCCACGCGCCATGGGCCCGCAGAGCCAGCTCCGCTCAGCCCTCTGGAAGGTCGCCCGGACGTCCAAGGGGACGTCTGCGGCGGCGCCGGCGGGAAGCCGGAAGGCGAGAACCGGGCTCTGGCCGGAAGTGGGAGACCGCGGACGGGGGGGTGGTGCCGGCGCCGTGGAGGGGCGCTGACGTCACTTCCTCTGGGCGGGGCCGTGGGCAATCCCGCGCAAATTGAAAGCTCCGGCCGTCTGTGCTGTGCTGCGCTGCGTCCCGGCTCATCAAGTTCTGCGCCGCGGCCTCGCGTGCTCTGGCTCATGTAAGTGGGGGCCGCGGGGACGGGCTTCTGGGTCCCCACCCGGCCTTCCTCGGGCAGATGGAGGGCCCTTCCCGGCTAGCGGGTGGAGCGGGCAGTGCAGGCCCGCAGCGTGTCCCCGCTGGTCCCAGTCCCTGCTCTCGGGATCCGGGTCTTCCTGGCAGAAGGGGAATATCTGACTTGGTGCCGGACCCTGCAGCGGCCCTGGGGGCGGCAGGCTGGGCACCCCTGAGCGGAGATTGGGGTGCTGGAGTGTATAGGCCGGGGAAGTGATTTGGGGGACCGAGGGAGGGACCTCGCATTTTCCTGCGGAAACGAGCAGGCCGGTTTTACGTGCAACCTCCCGGCTTCCAAATGTTGACAAGCACATGGTTTTCTTAAAGTTGTGCAGGCGAAAGGAACGTGTCTCCTGGAACAGTCCTGTGGGCGCTCTGCCAGGCCCTGTGAGATCAGATGGAGCGGTGATATTGTGCTGTCATTTACTACCTGGTGCCGCAGGCGGTCTCCTGACGATGCTTTGTGCCTGTGGCCCCCATCATTCTCATCGTGCTGAAGAGGAAACATTTATTCGTGAATATTTACCTAACTTAGAAGAAACATGTAAGTTTCACAAAATTATACTCTGACAGTTTCTCTTGGAATGAAAGAAAACTTTTTTAGGAGTATCTGAGAGGTAGGAGAGTAATTGTTTTTCCCAAACTGTGGCTTGACGACTACGTGCACCCAAATTACCTAACGTGTTTAAAATTCAGAATTCCCGCCTCATGCCACAACTAGTGAATCATAGTCAGGAGGAGTGGAGGAGTTGAGAATCTGCAACGAACTGAAATTTGAGAACTGCTGGACTAGAGTATCAGAGCTTTCCTACAGTATCAACAGGGTTAAGTCTGACTCCTGATCCTGTACTTTCTTCCTATCCTCCCTAATTTAATGTCTGTTGGGAGAGATTTATGTTTTGAAATGCTAAGCAATGCTCAGTGTCCACTGCTTTTACTTTTTATCATGGGCAGTTGGGTGAGAGGGCAGTAGTTACTTGAAAAAGGACTGTGGCAGCTTCAGGTTTCTGTATAGAAAGGGCTTGGGGGCTGCAACCTGGATGGAAAAGCTAAGCATTTATCTTGAAACTGTATTTGCACGGCGGGCAGTTTCACATTATTTGTGGGTAGCTTTCAGTCTGATGGACTTGCCCCTGGGCACCACCATTGCCTGTTAGCAGAATGTTCAGTTGTTGAAATAAAGCATTCTGATGGTAGTAAATTTCAGTCCTAAAAAAGTATACCCCTAGTTCTATAATTCTATTTGCTTATTTTATTTTTCAGTTGAAATGTTCTACCAAGTGTTTTGCATGTTGTTTCTTACAAAGCCTTTGCAGAGGCAATGTGATATCACAAGATGCACAATTTTAACAAGGCCTTCTTGGAGAGAAGACAGGCTCATACTTTTTTTTAGTATTTTCTGTCTGCTTCATACTGTTTCCAGGGCTTGGAGCATACATTATGATTCCAAAAGGGAAAGCACTTTAGAAAGAATACATAAAGGAACTATCAAATAGGGATAGTATGTTATTATGGTAAGTATTCTAGACGTTAGAAATTGTTTGACAGAGAGGACCCCAGTTAAAATATTAAAGAGTAGTGATTCTCAAATGTCTAAACAATAATAGGTGCTATGTTAGTTTTTGAGCTCTTTTTCCAAAACTTTTGGGTAAATATATTTTGCTTTAACCATTGCTGTTTTCCATTTCTTTTTTCGTATCATATAGTTAACTTAGCACTATGGGGATCCAAGGATTACTGCAATTTATCAAAGAAGCTTCTGAACCTATCCACGTGAGGAAGTATAAGGGACAGGTAGTAGCCGTGGATACATATTGCTGGCTTCACAAAGGTGCTGTTGCTTGTGCTGAAAAACTAGCCAAAGGTGAACCTACCGATAAGTAAGTTTGGACCTTACGTTAATTCTTTGCCAATTAGGAACGAGACTTGTAACGCTCTTTTTTCAGAAGAGGATCATTTTCCTTCAGTGTCAGATTTATCAAGAAGTGAGAGCATGTGCTTTAGAATATTGCCACATCAGGGAACATTTCCTTCTATGATATACGCTAGTTTTCATTCCTTCAAATAAGCCAGAGTATTAGGACACCAGTGGACAAAGACTAAAGGCTGTCTTCTTTATTCTTTATCTAAGATAAACTTTTTAACAATATTCTGAAAAATCCATGGTGACTTTAGACTCTCACTTTCTTGGGTACAGACAACATACTGCTAAACCCTGTTAGCAAAACAAGGCAGTTGCTTCTCAGGGACAAGGTGTTCTGACTTCCTTTTACTTCACTCGGGGCCAGAAATGGTGGCCAAGCTGACATCCAGTCATAACTCATGACCTTATTTGGGGCGGGATATGTGTCCTCTTTGTTTTTTAAATAGAGACACTAGAAAAACAAGTCAGCATAGTTTTTAGACAGAGATTTTCCACAAGGATTTGGGCACTATTATGTGTCTTCTTTTTCACACTGTATAATTTACCTCCTAGAGGGAAGGCTTATAGATCTTAGCATGATTTACTTAAGCACAATGGACAATAATAATAATAATCTTTTTTTGTTTCCAGAAAGGGATGGGGTAGTGAGTTGGGGGTGGAAAGAAGCAGAGAAGTCATTATTGAAAGGTGAATATATGTTTTTGGGCTTTTGGGCCTATCAAGTTAATTTGACCCAAAGTGACCTGTCACAGTTTGTCTGGGATGTGAAGGAGTCTGGGTGCTTCTGCCACTCCAACTGTTGCAACCATTTTTTGAAAGTGATTTCTTTTCCACCAATAAATTTGAACAGTTGCAATTATAGTTGACGACTACAATTTTCTCATTGCTACCTTCAATGTTCTTTAAATTTTCTTCACTGGGGAGAGAACTTTGTCTCTAGTTTTTTTGTAATTCTTAAGGATTCTGAGATTTTTGACTAATTAGAAGAGTTGTCCAAAGTACAAGGAATATCCATATTGTCAGATGAATTCCACAGGGCCTTCCACATAGTAGGTGCTCAGTAAATGTTCACTGAACTAAAAAGTTTCAGGACTTTCAACAAAGTATTGAGTATTTTAATATTTTTTTCCTACTGTAACTAATAAGTCACATTTGATAGTTTATTTTCCTTTAATGGTTCATTTTGGATGGGGATACTAACAAGAAAAAAACCAGAAAGTTTGGATAAGCCTATGGTAAACCTTTATGATCATAATAAAGAATGAGGTAGCTCTATATGTACCTGGAAAGATGTCTGAAATATATAAAATGAAGGAACCAGATATCTGACGTTTGTATTCTGTCTAGTTAATAAAAAAAAGTAAATTTCCTTTAAAATCCATTATAATTTTACATTTGCTTTCTCCTATTTTTATTTGATATTTAATCACTAGTTCCCAGTCCTTGTGCTATAGACCAATGCAGGTCCATTGTCACTGGTTTACAATTTTAAAAAAAGGACAATGTAGTGAGTCTTCCATTAAAATGAATATGATGATGATTTAAAAGATTATCTTTTAAGATTACATCTTTCTATTCATATTTTTGAGTTAAAATACACCAATTGTCTTGCCAGAATAAAAACCTAAATGTAATGCATGATTCTTGTTTGCATCCTGGACTGGAGGAAAAAACTATAGCAGTGCTGTGCTGGAGTCAACTCATATGAACTTGCTATACCCATCTCCTCCCAATTTAGCATTTAGTGAGCCCACATTGGTGGTTTATCCACCACTGTTGAATATGCATGTCAGGGAAATTTATAAGTGCTACAAATCAGGCACTTCTTCCCCCAGAACTCGTTATTTATTTAGCAGGTCACCACTAGTTACAACAATACTAGGACAATTGGGCAAATTTTAATATAGACTGTATATTAAACAGTACTTTATTACTGTTAAATTTCTTGGGTATAATAATGGTGTTGGAAAAATCAGGTATTTATTGTACTATTCTTTCAGCTTTTCAGTAGATTTGAAATTTTTTAAATCAAAAAAAAAATGAGGGAAAAAGGCTAGATTTGAAATCACACAGTGTCAGGACCGTCAGAGTCTTTTAATCTGCTCATGAGGAAGGCAAATATTACATAACCCAGTAGGATCCAAGGCAGGATTTGAACCCAAGTCTAAATTAGAGCTTATATTTCCTATGAAAACATTTGCTTAAGAAACAAAAGCCTCTTTTCATAATCTATCTCATCTAGTTTTAAAAAGAGCAAAAGTATTACCTTATAAGATGCAAAGTACGTAAATGTTTTTTCTTCAATTTCATAGGTATGTAGGATTTTGTATGAAATTTGTAAATATGTTGCTGTCTCATGGGATCAAGCCTGTCCTGGTTTTTGATGGATGTACTTTACCTTCTAAAAAGGAAGTGGAGAAGTCTAGAAGAGAGTAAGTAGATTCTCTAACTTAACTACTTTAAGTTCTGACATTGTGGTCTGTATGATACCAATTTCTTTTTGTCTTAGTTTGTGGAGGCTTGTTTTATAGTTTAGTTCATGAACAGATTTTCTTAAATGTTTCATGTGTGCTGGAAAAAAATGTGTGTTCTTCAGTTATTGAGTGGAAGGTTTTATGTCTATCCATTAAATCAGGCTTATTATTGTAGTGTTCAAAGTGGCTTCTTTTGTGGGGAGTTTTGTTTTGTTTTTTATGTGTGTCTACTTAATCCATCAATTACTGAGGAAATGTTAAAATTTCACTGTGATGGTGGATTTTTCAGTTACCTTATAGTTCTGTCCATTTTTTGCTTTGTTTATTTGAAGCCATTTTATTGGTTGCCTTCATATTTAAAATTTGTTATATTTTTGTAGCAAATTGAAACAATACGTAGTGACTCTTATAGTCTCTATGCTTTTTTGTTCTGGAGTCTATTCTGTCTGACGTTAGTATACGCATAACAACTTTCTTTTGTATGTTCCTAATGCCTTTTTCTGTTTACTTTTAGTTTCACTATGTCATTGTTTTTAGGCTTGTTTCTTGTGAAGAACACATCACTGTAATTTTTTTTTTATCCATTCTGTCAACCTTTGTCTTTTTAAAAAATCTTTTAAATGGAGAGTTTGATTCTCTTTACACTGATCATTAATTGCTAATATATAGCTCCGACCTTGTTTGACTTCTTTTGACATAAAGCATTATTCTAGAAAAGTCTGATGATAAGCTTGTGTGTATGGGCACTATAAATCCTTGTTCTTTGCATCTAGAAACCCAAAAGATCTGGGTTAATATTCTGAAGAACCCAGTGTACACTTTCAAATGAGTCAACCATTTTTTTATTCTAGGAAAATTTCTTGAATTATAGTTTTATTGTAGTTTCTTGAGTTCGCCTGTCACCTTTTTTTTTTCTCTCTTGCAGAAGAAGACAAGCCAATCTTCTTAAGGGAAAGCAGCTTCTTCGTGAGGGGAAGGTCTCAGAAGCCAGAGAGTGTTTCACCCGTTCTATCAATATCACACATGCTATGGCCCACAACGTAATTAAAGTGAGCTAAATAAGAAATAAAGCCAAAGTAACAAATGGTTGGGTTCATTTAAGCCAGTTACAAGCCAGCTGTTTGTTAATGGGCAAGAGAGGACATGAAGGGAGGATAATTATTGTAGGCCAGACCTTCAGGAAAGCTGGGTGTCAGAGGAAGAAGGGAGCAGGGTTTGTAGGTAGGAGAGAGGAATCCAGCCATTTCCAAGGGAGAAGTCCTAAAGAATGAGCTCTCCCTTTTTAGATGAGTCACTTGCATAGATAAAAGTGCTCCGTAGAGACAGAAGGGCTAAATTCTTGGAGGTTCAATCCTACCCCATGCTCATAGTCTTCAACACTTACTGTAACCTTCACTCTTGAATGACTGTCAGGGATCTATTCAATTATTCTGGCCAGTTCAGAAGCTCTGCAGATTTCTAGTCTGTTTGATCTGCTTCTGCTTAGAAGCTTCTTCCCTCATCACCGTAAATCTTAGGGTCAACACTCCCATAGTCACAGCCCACACTTCCCCCTTTTTGGGTCTCTGTTCAAACTGCTTGGTAAACAAATGGGAAGAATGGTGATTAGATTCTGTTGTGTCATCAGTACAGTCTCCTGTAGACTTTTGTTCTGTGACAAGAGAACCTGGGGAAACACATGTCTTATGTTCTTTTGGGAGCATGACCATACTTAAGATGGTAGCTGTCTATAATTTGAAATAATTAAGCATTACAGCTTGTTTTTTTTTCTCCCCCCTCCCCGCCCCCCTGAATGTACAGCAATAGTTCTGTTTTCCTAATGTATAAATTGACTTTTAAAAAAGATTTCTTAGTGGCTGTATGATTAGTTCAATATATGCTAGGACTGAAAACAGAAAAACTTACTTTAAAGGAAATGATTTCCAAAAATAATATGAGCCTGTACATGTTGAGGCTGGGTAAGATGGGTTTGAAACAGGAAGTCTTTCAGTGCCTTCCACATGCTGTTCTTGAGATTGATCGTGACCCTTCCTCACAGGCTGCTCGGTCTCAGGGAGTAGATTGCCTCGTGGCCCCATACGAAGCGGATGCGCAGTTGGCCTATCTCAACAAGGCTGGGATTGTACAAGCTATAATTACAGAGGACTCCGATCTCCTCGCTTTCGGCTGTAAAAAGGTACCTAACTACAACTACTCCATACTGTTTTTCTATGTGGTTGGAAATAGTGTAAATCAAGGAGCTAAAATTTTCCTCTCCAGAAACACATATTTTATCTTATTTAATACCTGCAACAAATATCTACTTACAGTGTTAACAATTATTTTATTTAAAATGAAAAGAAAGGTTTTGCTGCTTGACATTTGTGTAATCTGGATGATTTTTCAGAGTAAGCCCTTAAAGTGAGAGGGTCGTCTTGTTTTTTTCCAAATTCTTTAGTGGAATGTAGTCTTGTTTTTTAATAATGATCACTTACATGCTTTATATTTTTCAATTAGGTCGTATAAATAAGTTAACGTATCTGCTAGTGAGAGGCTCTGCAGTAATTTAGAATTATGTATAAAACTGTTTAATGGAGAATTTTATTATGATATTTTAAGACACAGAACTATAGACTGATCTCATTTCTGTTATTATCTATGTTATTTGTATTATCTATATATTTGTAGATGACTAGAAGGATCTGTGAAAAGATCAATGCTGGGTAACAGTGATAGATGAGAGATTTGGGGCAACTTCTGTTTTCTTCTTCCTGAATTTCTGTGTTTTCCAAATTTTCTGCAATACACATGAATTACGTTAAGAATAAGAAAAAGAATTACTTTAATATGTAAAAGCAGAAGGTAAGAAGAAAATGCTTTTTGTTATTTAAATAGGAATTGCTATTTGACATGATCAACCCTGTAATAGAAATAGGAAGTAAAGAGGAGCAGAAAGGGCCTTCTTTATACGAGAGTCAGGGCAGTTGAATTATGATGTGTGATCTTGTCTAGCCTGTGCTTCAGTTTAACTTACCTGCAGATTTGACGGTAATTAATTGGACTCCCTATCTCTTGGTTACGATGAAGAACAAGAAAGATTTCTTAGAAATACTGCAGTGGATTTGGTAATGAAAAATTAAAATGGCTTTTATAGGTGTTAACAATTTCCCTTCCCTTTGAAGGTGATTTTAAAAATGGACCAGTTTGGAAATGGACTAGAAATTGATCAGTCTCGGCTAGGAATGTGCAAACAGCTTGGGGATGTGTTCACAGAAGAGAAATTCCGTTATATGTGCATTCTTTCAGGCTGTGACTATCTCTCATCCCTGCGTGGGATTGGCTTAGCCAAGGCCTGCAAAGTACTAAGACTAGCCAACAATCCAGATATTGTGAAGGTAAGAGTGATTTACCAAGGGTCACGTTAAGTTCTGAAGCAGTTCTTAAATAATAGATGATCCGCTCAGAATATGGATCTTAAATATTCTGTTATATCCACAGCCAATATTGTGTCATTGAAAGGAGAAAACTACTAAGTCACTAGAACTTTGCTTTTGGCAACTGATGAACCATGTTTTCAGCAGTTGACTTAAAAACTAGTAATTTTTAAAAATAAAAACAGCTATAAAGAGATTTAAGGATAAAATATCCTAGGGGAGAATTAATGTTAAAATGCAGTCTTTTGATTTCTGTCTTATTACCCTAGTGGTTCTCAAACTTTTTGGTCTCAGGATCCCTTTATACTCTTAAAAGCTCTTTGTGGCAATAATTTTTGTTTATATGGGTTATAGCTATTAATATTTACTAAGTCAGAAATTGAAACAGAAAAATTTAAATATTTGTTAGTTCACTCAAAATTAACAATAAATTCATTACATTTTAAAATAAATATATTTATATGAAAATAATCATCGTCTAAAACATGAAGATTATGAGAGAAATTACACATTTATGTAAATCTCTTTAACATGGCTCAGTAAAGCTGGATTCCTAATTCTACTTCCTCATAGAATCCGATGCAGTATCATGTGTCGTGAATTTTCTAGAAAACTCTGAGACACCGTACGTCATTGGTCTATAATTTAAGAAATTAAGCATTCGTTAAAGAAGCTTATTCCCACCCCTACTTGCCTTGAGTAGTTCTCTTAAGCCCATAGAGTTTGCAGAGCAGAATTTTCATTTTCTGTTTCTAAGAGTACAAAGTGTGAGTCCTCAGGGCTAAGGATGGTCTGATCTCAGGGATGGGAGATGGTGGCAGATCTGGGAAGAGAGCAGCATGCACTGATTAGCCTGTGACTCTAGGATCACTCTGGTTCTCTGGGTCTTCACTTCTTCATCTCTGAGTTTAATATAAAAGTTTCAAAACCCTTTCAAGCTTTAATCATCCATGACCATAACAGGAGTTAGAATGTTGACTCCATTTTTAAAATATGATCTAAGAATTTTTTTTTTTAAATCCTCAGATTTTGTCTGTTGTTTGTTTTTTGCTTTCTGAATGAAAGGGATTTTGAAGGTGAAGAATGTATCTTAAAGTTATACTTAGGAATATAAATTTGATGTGTAACTGGATTTTTCATTCTTTGGATTAATAATAGGAAAAAACAAAGAAAACACTGTTATAGAGACTTAGAATTTTAAGTCATGACATGATTGTGTTTACTGGTAGAGGTTTTTAATGTAGATAAAAGCAATTGATTTTTTTTTTTAATCCCTCATCCTTCTCTACTGTAAGCTGATGGATCTTGGGGATAATGTGTTCCCTGTTCTTTGTTTGCAGATAACTTGTAAATATTTTTACATCTATTATTAGGTTATCAAGAAAATTGGACATTATCTCAAGATGAATATAACAGTACCAGAAGATTACATCAAAGGGTTTATTCGAGCCAACAATACCTTCCTCTATCAGCTAGTTTTTGATCCCATCAAAAGGAAACTTATTCCTCTGAATGCCTATGAAGATGACATTGACCCTGAAACACTGAGCTATGCTGGGCAGTATCCTTTCTGAACAAGAATCGTAGAACTTTGCACTTCTTGCATATGTTTGTGGTGATATTTTTAGTGAGACATTCAGTAAAAAGCTTGCACTTTTTTTTTGCTTTTTTTTTAATAGTTAAATCTTTATTTTTTTAAATTAATTACCATGCTAGTGAAAATTTAGAACAACTTTTGCTTATAAACCTGAGGCTCATCCATTATAACTTGCTAATTACTTAGATTGACTTGGCAGAAGCATATACAGTCAGTCACTTAAGGTACATACTCCAAAGGTGGTACTTAAGAGACCCTCTCACAGCAAGTAAGCTCAATTAATTAGGAAGAACATTCTGGGCATATGAGTATCCCAGTTGAGGATGCCCTTCCCACAGCTACTGGCCACATGCATTCAGGGTGATGCAGAGCTGTGAGTCACTTAGGTATTGGCCAGGACTTTCTTCTTTATTGCCCTTGACAGGAAGTAAGTGATGACTTGGGGCTTTGCTTCAGAAAATAACCAACTCCTGCTGTGACAAATAGAGACTAATAAACTCTGCCTGTGGTTTTGGTAAAGCTGAATGTAGAAAGTAAGTACTGTCCATTGAAATCATAAACCTGAAGATTTTCTGTGACAATAGAAGACATTTTTCCATTTTAATACAGTATCATTTGTTTGATTATTAATAAAAGCATTTTCCTTAATCCTACCAACCTAGGTATGTTGATGATTCTACAGCTCTTCAAATAGCGCTTGGAAATAAAGATATAAATACTTTTGAACAGATTGATGACTTCAATCCAGACACTGCCATGGTAATATTTTAAAGACTTTCTTCTCAAAGAGCACATTTTAGTTATGTCTCAGGAAGTATGACTTAAGGCAAATCTTCATTTAGTAAACATCTTTTAAGCATTTCTATATCCAGGCACTGTGAAGTGTAGACTGAAAACAACTTGATACTAGAGGAAATATATCTCTTAGAACATAGGTATGTTGGTTAATTTCCTTAAATTAAAAAGTGATCACATAATATATTATCAAACCTTTAGACTTTCATTTGAGCATACCAAATGTTTGATGTCTTTTTTCTCAATTCACCTCATTCTGCCTACTTAGCCTTTCATTTGATCTCTGTCTTTAGACAAATGAATCTTCCCGCCTTCTAAAGTGCCTATGGTTTGAATATTACTGTTTTGGGTTTCAAAGGTCCAGTTGCTCTGAAGGCAGATGGGTGCGAATTGACTGTACGGTCAGGTTGAAGATGAGGACCCAGGGGCCAAATAATCATTTTTTTCAGCTCTCTTCCTACCTGTGGCCACCATGGTACCTGGTGCCTTAAATTCCTGAGTCGTTCTCTGGGTTTCTGTACATGGAGTTGGCTTTTCTCACTGACGTTCTTTTCTGTAGACACTTGAGTTTGATCTCTCTTGGGCTAAATTCTTTATTTTTATTTTTTTATTGCAGTATAGTTGATTTATGTAATGTAAGTTTCAAGTGTACATGAGGTTTCATGATTCACAATTTGAAAAGGTTATAATACTTTATTCATAGTTATTATAAAATATTGGCTGTATTCCCTGTGCTGTACAATATATCCTTTTACCTTCTTTATTTTACACCCGTTAATCCCCTCCCCCTGTCTTGCCCCTCCCCCTTGGGCTAAGTTCTTTAAGCTCTTCTATTTATACTCTTATCTTCACTATGGTTTGGAAGTTACATGTATCTCCTAATTTTACTGCAGGTGGAGTTTGTGTTTGTTTCTTGTTCTTACTGCTTTGGGGATGACTTTTTTTTTCCTTATTGAATTATTATTGACATATTAGTTTCAGGTGTATGACATAGTGAATCTTTTTATTTATATACATTATACTTATATACATTAAGAAATTATTTATATACATTAAGAACTTATCACAATCATTCTACTTACCATCTGTCACCATACAGAGTTATTACAGTATGATTGACCATGTAGTCAGCCCTTCATTTCCACGGGCATCTGCAGATTAGACCAACTGCAGACCCAATTCAATTGAATCCTTGGATGCAGAACCCATGGATATGGTGGGCTGACCATACTGCTCCATTTTATATAAGAGACTTGAGCATCCGTGGATTTTAGTACCAAAGTGGGTCCTGGAACCAATCCCCCACAGCCACCAAGGGACGACTATATTCCCTGTGCTGTGTATTATATCTCTGTGACTTATTTACCTTATAGGTAGAAGTTTGTATAAGAAGAGGACCGAAAAGACTTTATTCTGCTATCTTCTTTATAGATTTGAATTACTGATATTACAATTTAATCAGAAATGATTCTCATTTTTCCTGTCACAGAAACTGAGAAATAATTGGCTGAATTTAGTATGTTCAGATATGAATGGGAATGTTATGACTCACTAAGACAGCCATCCTTCATAATCCCAAATCCTTATCAGATCTTTTTTTTCATAGAGAAATTTCCCTTGGAACCACTGATTGTACATCAAACTAATCCTTTTTATTTCTCAAAAATTTATTCTTCCCAGTCAGGTTTTCTAATTGCCTATTTCTCTCTCTCTCTCTCTTTTTATAAAACCATCATGAGATCTAATGCCGTGAGCTATACTGCTTAAACTGTTTTTATTATGCCTATTCTCTCAATTATTCTAAGTTACCTTTCTTGTTACTTATTTATTATATTACTTATTTATTTTTATTTTTAATCCTTTGTTTAAGATTAGATTCCAAGTTCAGGTGGGATTTTTGTCAGGTACAATTCACACCCTAAGTACCAGCATTTTTTGTACTGTTGTTAATTTTTTAATGTTTTGTACCCTTTGCCTCTTCTGCTCTATTTGAATATCATTGACATCCTTTTAGCAGATCATTGTCATCTAAAATGTATTTAGTTATTAATTGTGAATAACTTGTATTAGCATTAAAAATGATTATTTACCAATCCTTACTGTCAATGAGTTTTCTCAGAGAAAATTTTGTATAAGGCTCAGCGTAGACCAAAGTAGCTTTCTGTTTCTCAGTATTGTCCATATTATAGAAACTATTGTTTTGTAAATTAGATTGTTTTAGTTTGAACTCATCCAAGTTCTAGAGATGGGATAGTTGATTAAATACATAATTTTATAGTTTTAATTTTCAAGTCCTTTGTAAAGAGTATGTTAGTTATTAATTAGAGGCTTGTTGCAAGATGATTATTAAAGTAATTACTACTGTATATTGAACTAATACTCAAATTTTAAAAGTAGTTTTTTCTGATCATGTTTCTTCAAGTGCTGTTTCATTTCTTGCACTGTTCATCTTAGGAAGATTCTTTTTTTATCTCTTAGAAATGAGCTAACAAGTTGCTTGACCCTCATTAAGAGAGAAATAGATCTAGGAATATAAAACACATTTAATGGAAAAGTATAGGACCAGCAAAGTGGAAAATGTTATTAGAGGACAGATGTTTCATCAAAAGCTGTTCAAAGGGGTAATTTAATTATTAACTTATAATTTATGTTGATACAGAGGGAAATAATTTGACTAATTATCTTCTTCAAGTAACTGTTTTCCTTTTACTGTTTTAGCCTGCCCAATCAAGAAGTCGTAGTTGGAATGACAAAGCATGTCAAAAGTCATCTAATATTAATAGCATTTGGCACAGAAATTATTGCCCTAGACTTGAGCTGGATATTGTTTCAGATGCTACAAGACTGAAAGAAAATCCAAGTACTGTAGGCATTGAACAAGTGATTAGTACTAAAGGGTTAAATCTTCCGAGGAAGTCACCCATTGTGAAAAGACCAAGAAGTGGTATGTATTTTGTTTTTGTGAAACAAAACAAGAAGTCTTGTTTAAGAAGTCTTTGTTAAATCTGAGATCACTAAGATTTTTTTCCTGTTTTCTTTTAGAAGTTTTATACTTTTAGTACTTACAGTCAGGCCTTTGATCCATTTTGAATTATTTTTTTATATGGTGTGAGGTAAGGATCAAGGTTCACTTTTTGGTATATGGTAATCCAGTTGTTCTAGCACCATTTGTTAAATAGATTATCCTTTTTCCATTGAATTGCCTTCCTGCATTTCTGTTTCTAGATTGGGTTATTCTGTACCAGTGGTCTCTTTTTCTATCTTTGAGCCAGGCACACTGTCTTAATTACTGTAGCTTTATAGTAGATCTTAAAATCAAGTAATATAAGTCCCTAAGCTTGTTCTTTTGAAGAGCTGTTTGGCTAGTCTGTGTTCTTCACATTTCCATACAAACCTTAGAATCAACTTGTCAGTTTCTTTAAAAAACAAATTCTGCTGAGATTTTGATTGGTATTTAGTTGAATCTGTAGATCAGTTTGGGGAGAATTGACAACTTAACAATATCGAGTTTTCTGATTCACTTAAATCTTCAATGCTTTGTAGTGTTCAGTGTACAGATCTGTACATCTGTTAAATTTATACCTCTATTTCAGATTTTTGATACTGTTGTAAATGGTATTTTTAATTTTAATTTCTGGTTCATTGCTAGTATATAGAAATACACTTGGTTTTTGTGTATTAATCTTATGTTTGGTAACCTTACTAAATTCACATATTAGTTCTAGTGTCTCTTTTGTAGACTCTAAGATTCTCTACGTAGATAATCAGATCACCTACAAATAAAGTCTTTGGTACAATGTTGAACAGAAGTGCCGAGAATGGAATGTTAGGTATTGGGAAAAAGGTTTCATTTTCCACTGTAGACATGTTTAGAAGTAGAAAGAGTAATTGTAATCCATTCCTTCTGTCTTTCTTTCCCTCAGACATTACATGAATGAATGAACGTCTGACAACAAAAGCAAAACAAAGCCCATGCAGACTTTTAGTTCATGCTTTTATGTTTTGAATTTAAGTATGGATTATACACATTTAGCCAAAATGGCCTGATTCCTTATGAACCTAAATCTTCTTCATGATAATATCTCTGAACCTTTGTTTCCTCTTCTGAAAGGGGAACAACATTGCCTGTTTCCAAATTGTTGTATACGTGATATATAAAAGCCCTGATGCATAGCAAGTACACTGAACTTAATAGTTCCTTCCTTTCCTTCTGCTGCCATCAGGATGATTCATTTTAGGTGGAGAGCTCATCAGGAAATTACCTATATCAGATTAAATCTTCTCTGTTATAACTGCCATTTATCAATGGATTTTGTCTCTGGGCACACACACAAATGCAAAAACAAAACAAAAACCGGTGAATTTTCTTCCCTCTTTAACGTGATAGCCCTTCATATATTTAAAGACAGCCATTGTCACCCTCCTAAATTTCTTTTGCAAGCTAAAAGTTTCTTATCTATCCAGGTTATGCTTTGGATACAATATAATTTTTTAATAATTTGTATCTGTTACAGTGAGTGGTTGTTGAGATGTGGTCTGCTTACCATAGAGCATGGTAAATATTTAGAACACTATTTCAGTCCTTCATCCAGAAACTGCTTTTACTATTGCAAACTAAGATAGTATTAGCTTCTATTAGTATTCTTGTCATTTTGCTGGCATTTTCTGCATTTATAATCGAAAGCCACCATTTGCTATTAAGCCAGGTACAGTTATATTTGTAAACTTAAATGTGGGTTAAATTATCTTTATTGAGGTAATCTTAATTCATTATAATCCATTGTTCTGCCTATTAATTTTTTTTCCTTTTTTTAAATCTTTGTATTGTCTTCTAATATATGAGTATTAGGTCACCTGAAAATTTGAGAAGTATGGCTCAAGGGTGTCTTAAATTTTTGGTTAAAATTTGTTTGCTTGTGTCATGTTGAATTGAATCAGAGCAAGTATGGAAATCTAGGGCTCCATACCAGAGACAGACCTCCTTTCATACCATTAGTCACCAATTATCTTTCAGGGCTATTCAGCTTGCTGCAAATTCCCATAACTAATACACAATAAATTTTGCTCTACATTGTCCACTAGAATAGTGAGAGTCACTGTGAGAAGTGTCTAGCTCAATTCAGGATATACTAAGTCTATGAACTTCTCCAAGGAGCTAGACTGACAAACTTATCATAAAAAGAAAATGAGATTAATGTGATATGGCTTCTTCTTGATGAAGCCTTGCTGGAGAGCCTACAATATTTTTTTTTTCCTCTTCTGTAAGAGCTCACAATTCTCTGCATAATACACCGATTTCGGTTTTGCCAAGTTTACCAATCTATAGGTTTTGGGTTTTTTTTTTTAATCTATGCAATTTTTAATTTGAGTTATCACCTTGACTCTAGTGTTTTGGCATGCCCCAGCTCTTTTACTAACTTCTTAGAATAATGAGCATTTACTCATGTGAGTGGAAGCTGTTCACTCTGAGGATTAGATGGACTAATTCAAAGCACCTTAGTGCTATCTCTATGTCTTTGTCTATTTCAGCTTTAACACTTTACATTTATTTAGCCTTATGAGGTATTCTAACACCATAGAATACATTTGTCACATGGCAGTCTTTTGAGAGCCCCTTAGCTGTGTAATGAGGATCAAAACTAAAGCACAAATTACTTTTGACTACATGACACTTTAAAAACCATAAACACATGGATGGTGTATATAAATAGCTCCTGGTTTTATGGAAACATTTTTAAAAAATCAAACATTAAGTTAAATCATACATTTACATGTAAATTGCCTTAGATTTTTTTTTTACTTTCAAAATTAGGTCCTTAGTATATGAGTATAGAGTCTTACAGAATTGATTATATCCTGAAGTTTTGGTTTGGGTAATTTCACATAAAATCATACAAATAATTGACATTAAATCATAGCTAATTTTTGAAATTATAAAACACAGCAAAGGAAATTTTTTTAGAGTCATTTTATTTCCTTTTCTGATGCATAATTAAAAAAAATTAAGACTTCATCTTTAGACAATAGGGCAAGGACTGTGGAATTAAGACCAAATCTCTACATGTGAAATAAAGATTTACAGATAATTTTGTTTTTATTTAGAAGAGCTGTCAGAAGATGACCTATTGGGTCAATATTCTACTTCAAAGAAGACCAAGAAAAATAGTTGTGAAGTTAGTAAGTCATTGAAGTCTTCCGACTTGTTTATGCCTGACCTGGTAGACGGAACTACTAATAAAAAAAGCTTAAGTACACCACCTACAACAAGAAACAAATTTGCAACATTTTTAAAGAGAAAAAATGAAGAAAGTGGTGCTGTCATGGTTCCAGGGACCAGAAGCAGGTATAGTTGTACCTATGGAATATTGTTTGTCTGTTCTATCATATACTCTGTTGACATTCATTTTAATTGTCTTGAATAACATTGAGTCTAATGGGATAGGCTTAATCCAAATACAGTTTTTTCAAATCATGTAGTGCCTTAGTTCTGCTGTTTCCCTGAACTTCTGTTACTTTTGTAATCTCTCCATACAGAACCAAAACAAGAATTGTAGACCTTATTACATTTTGCATTAGAAAAACTCTGCTGTTTTTGGGGGGGTCCCCCCTTATTTGTGCCTATTTATTTCGTTTTTTTTTTTAAAGCTAAATATAATTTTGCAAAGGATAGTTAGAAATATATTTAAATACAGATGGCTATTGATTTCTCATATAAATTGACAATTGTATACGATACTAGGTGCTCTCATACAAAAATGAGAGGCAATTTTTGTTCTTGAGAAACATGTAGTTTTTCCTAGTTGGAAAACTAGGTCATGACAAAATCTTTCCATGTAGGGTAGTGTAAGTTCAATGACAAACCATGCCTGAGGTGTTCTGAGGGCATCTAATTCTGAGACAGTGGCTGGAAAGGACGAGGGGGAAGGGATGAGTATTAGGTGCCGTTACCTAAGGTGTAAATGATGAGTGAGCGAAGCAGACGAAGCATGGAGCCAGGTGCTTTCCCGGGAGACTCACACAGCTTGGACAGAGGCACAGAGCTGAGCAACAGCATGGAGCGTGGGGTGACTGTTTGCTGTAGACCACTGCCATTATTACTTCTGCCACGATGTAAATTGGGGAAAGGATGAAAAGGGAGCAGAAATGAAGATGATGAGGGAGCAGAAGCAAGCAGGCCAGTTCATGAAAGGCTTGTAAGCCAACTGAAGGATCTCTGAGCCTTTAAGGTGATGGGAAACATTTAGAAGGTTTTAATCCAGGGAGGGGTATGATTTGATTCCTAGTTTAGATAGACCACTCTGAACACACTGTGAAGAATGGAGTCTAGTGGGCCAACGTGGAGCAGAAAGATTGGTTAGGCTGTTTCCATCATCCCTGTGAATGAAGGTGAGAACTTGAGGAGTCAGTATGGCTTAGGGATTAGGAACTGGGACCCTGGGATTAGGCTGCCTAGACTTGAATCCTGTCCTGTTTACTCATGAGTTCTTTGACTTGGACAAGTTAATTTCTTTGTGAGAAAACTCCAAAAATCTTCTGCATTATTTCCGTTGTTTTTGCTGCTAGGTTTTTTTGCAATTCTCTGGATTCTACTGACTGTGTGTCAAAGAAAGCAAGCAGCCAGCCTCTGGATGAAACCGCTGTTGCAGATAAAGAAACCAATGGAAACGAATCAGACTGTGTAGATGGCACGGTGTCGGATGACACCAGTGTAGCACGTAATTCAAGTGAGCAGACTGCAGATGATGTGACCGTGATTGCTGCGGACTCTCAGTCTTTGAAAACCAGCAGATTCGCAAGGACCATCTCACCACCCACTCTGGGGACACTAAGAAGTTGTTTTAGTTGGTCTGGAAGTCTTAGAGATTTTTCAAGAACACCAAGCCCCTCTCCAAGCACAGCACTGCAGCAGTTCCGTAGAAAGAGCGATTCTCCCGCCTCTCTGCCTGAGCGTAACGACAGGTGTGATGTGTCTCAGCTGAAGAGTGATGAGTCCGGTGATGAATCTTACCCCTTACATGAAGTGGGCTGGTCTTCACAGTCTCAGGAAAGCATGGAATTATCACCACACAATTTAAGTGCAACTAAACTTTCTCAGCCTTCCAGTAAGGATTCAGATTCAGAGGTAGGTCACATTATGAAGCCTTTGTTTTCAAATTCATATATAAGAGAAAACATGGTGTTTATCAGGTAACAGGAAATTTTGCCTGCATTATGGAAATAATTGGTTGTTTTAATTTTTATTCTAGGTCTTACTGAGTAGAAAGTTCACATTTTATTCATCTGAAGGGCTTTTCTATGTCTTTCCTATTTTAGACTCTTGTACGTGTAATCTAACCATATTTCTTGAATCACTATGTATTCCATTGAGAGCTGTCTCAAGTTGTGGAACACTTAAGACCTAAGCAGGACAATAAGCTTCGTGAAAAATTATTATAAATTTAATATCAAAATCCTTAATATACTCTTGAATTCAGATAACATTTAAAACCTTTTGACGAAATGGCCCTGTTACTGTGATGGTGTTCATCTTAAGTTTTAGTACTTCGGGAATATATATTTATTTACGCTTTTTACTTTTGTTGAAATGCCCCTTTATGACAAAGCAAAATAGTAATAATACAAGTGATTTTATGTTATTCTGTTTAAATTAATAAAAGCATCCTACTCATTTTTCTTATTTATAAAATATCTTTATTCTTACTTAAATAAAATCAAAACTACAAATAAGTACTGCTCATAAAGACCCAGTGATAATCATATTTTAAAATGACATGATTGCATAATAGCATTCTTTAAATCTGAGTTATCTCAAATTTACCAATTTAACATACTTCATTTTATATTTACAATTACAGTTACCAAGTTGTAAGAACAACTAAAGCCTTGGGATTATTTGACGGAATTTTGAGGTCTGATAATCCTGAATATTGAGCACTGTCTAATAAATCAGTATAGGTTGTATTTATCGAAAGCAAAATATTTTATTCAAATTCCTAAAGGAAACTTGAGTTGTATTGGACTCAAATTGAAGGAAAAAAGCCTAGGTAAAATGTGGAAACAAATTGTTTTCATTTGGTGAAAGCTGAAATCAGTTAATATATTCAAATCCAAAATCCATCTCATGTGGTGTTTTCTAAGTAAGAGTATGCCAAACCAAACCCTTGAGGCTTTTGCTTTTCTTTTCCCATTCACCCACTTTGCCTTCAGTTCATTCATACTGGTCTAGAAGACTGCTTCTTTTATATGAGCCTCCAGTTTTTTCCTTTTCCACCTCTTAGCTGGGTTTTCTCTTGGCACCATTTGGGTACCACCACAGCTGCTATTTCTTGAACATCTTTCATAAAAACATCGTTATCTATTCTCAAACAATTGAGACAATAACGGGTAATATAAAAACTATATAATCCTTCTTTGATTCAGAAAATATTTTAGAAAGCCACAATATTAGTCTTTACTGCATGATTCTGAAGAAAATGTATTGGGGCTTCATTCTGAATATCAGTTTTTACCATATGGTTCTGAAGAAAAAGCATTGGAGATGTTTACTGGTTCACTGTGAAAAGCAACAATCATGTGTTCTATATGTATTAAGTACGTTAACCCTATTTGAGGTGAATTAACCTTAGGATCTTACTCTTGATCTTCATTTTAAGAAATGATACAGCCCAGAGTCACCACTACTGCTAGCTATGAGCAAGGAACTTTAGAGTTTCTATAAATTACAATCCAAATTAATGGAGTATTTTTTACTTTTGGATTGTTTTTTAAGTATATAGTACCACGTGGAATCCCAAGATAATATTTTTTAAAAACCAACCCTCTTGGAACATGCTGAAATGTAGACCCTTCAGAATTTCCATTTATTGTCCTTTTTTATTTGACTTTTGTGGGAATCAAGATTATTCTGTCTATAGAAAAGTCTTATATGAGGGGATTTGGGTACAGAAAGTAGGTCTCAAAGTCTCTGCTAAAGGTAATTGTGCCTTTCATACGGTACTGCTCTACTTCTTGAAAGTAGATGCCTTTTTTCTCTTAAATGTTGAACATGTCACACAATTAAAAGAGCTATGGAGCTACACTGGTTCAAGTTTTTGTGGCTAGTAATTTATGAAAATTATTAGCCAAGCTTGCAAATGATATTACAGGAGGAGACTTTTTTTTTGAAAAAGAGAATAAATCCACACTTTTATTTATCTACTTTCCAACAAGTTTAAATCCTTGAGGGGGTACAGCGTCGCACAAATTCTGTATCCAGTGACTTTAGCAGGATGGTTGCTTCAGAATTTGGCAGGAACCATGCCGTTGTTTCCATGAGCACAAGTTACTTTTCCCCAGATTACTCTGGTTTTGTTGGGTTTGCCACCAGGAGTTACAATGTTCTTTTTTGCTTTGTACACATAAGCACATCTCTTGCCTTATCTATTGAATTCATCTCAAGCATAAACACCTTCAATTTTAGGAAGAGCTGTGCACCCCCTCTAGTTCTGGAGACCCCACTTAACAGCTTTTTAATTTATATTTCGTACAGTTTACTTCTCCAGCTGAAAGATCTTACTAGATTTCTTTAGTGAAACTCACAAACATCACTCTTTCCACATTAATTTTCTTTTATTCTATTCCAAGCTTTTTATATTTTTTTCTTCTGAGAAATTACATTTTATTTACACTGATTTTCTCAACTGACTTGTTTTATGTTTTGTTGAATATTGGTTAATTGTCATAAAAATTCCATAGTAAAAATCTAATTTTACTTTATTTTTTGATTTGTGGGATCTAGGAATCTGATTGCAATCTTAAATCACTTGATAATCAAGGTAATCAAAAATCCAAGCTACACTTATTTCATTTTTCGAAAGAAGACACGCCTCTAAGGAACAAGGTAAAACAGTTATTTAAATTATTTTTAAATTTCAGAAGTGATACATACCAGGAGATAAGAAATATAAGCAAAATTAAATATCAAAATGCCTGTATTCTTAATTACAGAAAAGCGTCTGCCTTCAAACCTTCTAAGACCATGTTTGTGCTTAATTTGTAGGTGTTTAAGTTGTGAAACCTGCTGTTTTTCTCTCGCAGTATAACATTGCTTATAATGACTAAAATATGCCTTTGTATGGGTTTAGTTAATCCTCTTATGTTTGTCCTTTACCCTAAAACTTTTTGCTATAGCAAACTGTACTGCAACCAAGATCTTGTGGGTAAATATTTGAGTACACATTCTTGATTATTTTACAAGAATGAATTCTGTGGAATGGTATTACTGGTCCCACAGCATCTATGATGATGTAAAGCTTTGATATATACTGCAAAAAGACCTTCTAGGAACTGGGTTCCTGATAAGCCAGGTTTTTTTCTTTATCAAAATATATAAAGATTTGTGTGACTGCATAGTGAAAGCTCATTAACTTAAAGCATGTTTTATATATTAAGTGTTCTTGCCCATCAGTATCAAAATACTAATTGTTAATGTAAAAATGGGCAAGGGACATGAACAGAGATCATAAAAGAAAAAGTACAAGTGAATGATTAACATATAAAAGCACATTCAACCTTATTAGTAATCAAATAATGTAAATTAAAGTAATATAATTTTTATCTCTCATTTTTCCATAAAAGTTTTTAATTTACTTATATTTATGAGAGTATTGTGAGATGAAAAATCACATATTTAGGAGACTAAGAATTGCTCAGCCACTCCTGGAAAGCAATTTGAAAGAGTTCAAATAATTTAACCCAATAGATTCATTTTATAACTTGAGGCTAAGGAGAAACTGAGAGTGTAAACACGAGAGCACTTAGTTCTGCATTGATTACAATGGTAAAGAATTGGAAAAAGTTCTAAATATCTAAGAATAAGGGAGTGAAATACATTGAATACACTGTTGGTTTTACTTCTTTGCTGGTGGAAATATAGGTGAATTCTTTTTGTTTGTTTCTCATGTTTTTCTATAATGAACATACGTTATTTTTCTTCTATTTATACCTGTGAACTGTATTTATATAGTTAACAGATATTATTTTCTTATGTTAATTTTTTAATGCATAGAAACTTTAAAAAAAATTTTAATAGGTGGTCTGGCTATTTGAAAGAAGGTTCCCATCTCATACTATATAAATATAAACCTGAAAGCTATTCAAGATATAAATGTAAAAAATGTGAATATAAGATTGTTTTAAAAATCTTTGAGTGAGACAGCCTGTTTCAGGACATCTGTCTTGGAAAGATGTTCATATTATTTCTGAATGAAAAGGGAAGCCATGCTATTAAACAATATTGTAGTGTGGTGTTATTGTTTGCTTAAATACTTGAAATTACTCACACATCTGTGTATATTTGTATAATCATGGTATAAAGTCTAAAAGGATGCCAAAATTATGTGCAATCATAGGTAGGACTAGAGATGTAAAAAGTACTTTCTCAAAAGGAGTTACGTCTGGACATTAAACCATGTTTTTATTATTATTCTTTCTGTTAGAGATATGCATTGTCAGAGTTTTAACTGTCACTTCTGTTTTGGTGACAACTCCCCAGATGAACCTTCCTTCTTCCTCCCCAATATCCACCTTCAGTATCTAAAATCAAACTCATCTTTTTTACCTCTAACCAGTACTTCGCAGAACATTTTTATCAGCTACGGAAAGTTATTTAATTTCAAAATCTTAGGGTTGACCTCTTTCTTTATAAACGCCAGCTTGATACTTCTTCTGCAGGGATTAAAGAAAAACAACCAAACATCTCCATCTGTCTAAATCTTGTTTCTTTCTCTGTCTTATTTCATGCTTTCCCGTTTTCCCATCACCAACATCCTAATTCAGGATTTCATCTTTCACGTGTGAACCTTTCCATTCTTATACATCCTCTACTAGATTCATCAATTTTAAAGCCCTGTTTTATATTACCACACTCTTACCACCCTAAAAAAACAGCAACAAAACTTTAATGGCTCCATATGTCCCGCAGTGTAAAAATCAATGGATTCAACTTAAATGTCAGTAGAGATCCATTTAAGTAAATTATGGCACATTTATACAATGGAAAAAAGAGGCAACTTATTCAAAACAAAATTCAGTTCCACGCATGAAATGGAAAACTCTCCAAGATACATTGTTAAGAAGAATCAAGATATAGTAAGCAAGAAAAGCAAAGTACACAACAGTGTGTAATATGCTCCTGGTTGTCGTGTGTGTGTGTGTGTGTGTGTGTGTGTGTGTGTTTGTAAATGTATTCAGTGAATGCACAGGAAACTAGTAATAGTGATTGCCTAAAGGCAGTTCGGGAGTACAGGAGACTTACTTTTCTGTCTATTTTATAACTCTTGAATTTAGTGCCAGGTACGTGTATTAACCTGTTTTTTTTTTTATGATATATTTTTGTATTGTACTTTTATATGATAATTTTTGTAGTAGACATTTATAAGCACATTTTTGCATATTGCTTATGGGTTATTTTGTTGTTGTTGTTGCAGTGTATGAAGAATAGTTTGAAATTAAATAAAGGTAGTTGCTTTAACAGAATAGTATTAAAACAGACATTTAACCTTCAGGTTCCTGGGCTGTATAAATCTAGTTCTGTGGACAACCTTTCTACAACCAAGATCAAATCCTCAGTACCTGCCAGAGTCAGTGGGCTGAGCAGGAAGCCAACAAGCATCCATAAGAGGAATCATTATAATGCCGAGAACAAGCCAGGATTGCAGATAAAAATTAATGAACTCTGGAAAAATTTTGTATTTAAAAAGTGAGTTGCCTTGTTAACTTACTCTAAAATAGGATAAATGATTTTCTTCTGTAATTTCAACTTCTCTCTCCCAGCTGTTTCTGTTTTCATATGAATTAATTTCTTTATTGCTGTACCCACCCTCCCACCCCCAAAAATCACAATCTTACCCTAAAAGAATTATTTTCCTCTAGTCCCTTTAACTGACTCTTTGTAAGACTATTTAGCTTCAATTTCTATGCCTTCTTTTAGTGAAAAGATGGCAAAATGAAAAACCTCAGTTCTCAATCTGCCTTTGGGGGGGGGTCTCTCTGTTGTTAAGCAGATGACTTTTCCAGGTCTTAATAAGTGTCTCAATTTTCTTTCCTTCTAAAAGTTGTTTTAGATGTAGGGGGTAAGCAGATAAGCTTTGTGGTACTTCTGGATTTAGAGCAATTTGTTTCCCTAAATTATCACATCTAACATGGGGAGTATGATTGAGTTTATGTGATTAATTTGCCAGATTTCTAATGTACGTAGCGAACACTGTTTTAAAAGAATTGACCCTCTGTCTACATTTTTTGAACCACAGTACTTCTGTTGGACTACAACATCAGCCACAGAGTAGCATCAATTTATAATTAATCATTTTCTTGTCCTTATTAGAGCAAATGTGCTAAGAATAAAAGCAAAGAGAAATGAACGGAGGGAAGGGCATTACGTGCAATGCTAGGGTTTAAATCTCACCTAACAGATATATTATCACAATCAGATGAGATAGTATGAGTGGAAACACTTTGGAATAAGTGCTGGACAATTATTTTTTACTTTATATTGTGTAAGGTCTAGGATTAAATGATACAGCAGCAGTTCTCAAACTTTTTGCCTTTAGGAACCCTTTATAGTCTTAAAAATTATTGAGAGCCCAAAAGTACTTTGGTTTACGTGGGTTATATCTGTTATATATTTAACCATCTTCGAAAGTAAAGTGGACATTTAAAAATATTTAAATAACAATACGCTCATTACATCTTAAACCGATAGTATATTTTCACAAAAGAAATAGCTGTTTTTCAACACACAAAAAAAGTGAGGACACTTATATTTTTGCAAATCTTTACTGTCTGGTTTAACAGAATTGAGCTGGATTCTTACATCTGCTTCTGTGTTTGCGTCTGCTTCTGTTATGATACGTTGCTTTGGTTGAATTATATGAAGAAAATCTGGCCCCACACAAAGTTGTATTTGGAAAAAGTATATTTTAATAGGATTTTTATTTAATTGTAATTCTTCTTTTATATTACACCAGAATTCAACAAGTAGTTTCTTAAAGGTAGTTGTAATATAGAATATGAAGCCCTATCAGTTGACTCTCTGTGCTCTGTAGCATCATAGTCTATTGGTCCGTATTGCACTTTGTGCATCTTCTACTCACGTGTGATTTTATAACATTGGCGTTGATCATTTGGAAACTGTGGGTTTATTGAGTTGTGCTTATCTTCTAATTGTTGACACATTTCATTATACAATATTAAAAAAAAAATCGCAATCTTTTTTTTGTAATTGGAGTCACTGGAGATTGAACCCAGGACCTTGTGCAAGCTAAGCATGTGCTCTACCACTAAGCTATACCCACCACCCCCTCCAAAAAGAAAAAAATCACAATCTTATCAGCAAAGTCTTTAAGTACTGAGAAACTATTAAGTGGCAGATACAGGTTTTCCAAAATTCTAATTTTCACTTGAAAGTTTGAATTTTGTCATTGGCAATGAATACTGTTAGGTTTTTTTGTCTTTGAAGTAACAGCCTCTCTTTGTTCATTTTAGAGAAGCCCTTTGCCAAATACCTAAATTTGAATAACCATAGTGTCATACATGCTTTTACTTGAGATAACTATCATACTTCTCTGTGCAACAAAAGTGCCTTCTGTGTTTCCCATTTTGTCACAGAATATTCAGGGGGTTGAGAATTAATAAAATTTATAATTTTTACTACTTCATCAAAAATGTTCCTAGGTGAGACTCACTTTTTTTTTAGTACTATTAGTATTTCTTGTGCAGTTTGGTGCCACTGTCTGGATTCATGCTAAGTTGCCAGCAGCTTTACTCAGTTCTGCTTTTGGATTATCAGGACAGATGTTAGCACAGCAGGGAAGGCAGATAAAGTCTAAATATTATTATGAAAATAGTTTCATTCTTACAAAACCCCTGGAAAAGGTCTTGGGAATTTTTAGGGGTCTGTGGGTCATACTTTGAAAACTGCTGCTAGAGGGAAATTAACAGTATTTTCTAAATGCCTTGTAGGAAAGTAAGACTTACTCATATTGAATTTTTGTTGACAGGAGATAGAATCACTTTTGTTGTCTTCATAAGAGGATTAATTTTTATAGATACAGAGCTCCCAAAATCTCGGCGGAGGGAGAGGAGTAAAAGATAGGGCTTAAACATTTGTTCATGCTTCATTCATGTTGGTTCTCAGCCAGACTGGAGAAGGGCGCTAATCAAAAAAGAACTGATCATTCTGCCTTAGCTAGTATTTATTTAGTTGCGGTTTAGCACCTACTTTGAACGGTGATTTAGAAAGCAGGAATAGGAGAGGGTGTAGCTTAAGGGTAGAGCACATACTTAGCATGCACAAGGTCCTGGGTTCAATCCCCAGTACCTCCATTAAAAAGCAAAAATTAAATAAATAAACCTAATTACTTCCCCCCGCCCCCCAAAAAAGAAAGAAAGAAAGAAAGCAGGAATGTGTACTAAGAAGCAAAACTCACATTTTATTGGACGTACTCAGGGGAGAATCTGAATGTGTCATGTAATGAATTGAGACAAATTATAAAGTAAAGAATCATCTCCTCTTCATATACCTCTATTTTGTCCAGGTAGGTTATTCTCTAATAATTGCTACCCTAAAAACACCAAATTCATTTTATTATATTATATTTTGCAGAGATTCTGAAAAGCTTCCTTCTTGTAAGAAGCCAGATCCTCTGTCTCCAGTGAAAGATAACATCCAACTAACTCCAGAAGCAGAAGATGATTTATTTAACAATTCCGAATGTCTGCGTGTTCAGAGAGCAATATTTCCATAAACACAGGCAGCTGGGAGGCTGTCACCTGCAAGAGAATCTCTATCAATTGGAAATCCTATTTGGGATGAGGCAATTATCAGTCTGAAAGATTTGCTCTTAGAGCTATGCCATTTTTAAAATAGGGTACATTTTGTTTATTAACTATGTAACTGTTTTTGTTCAGCAGCTTTTTATATTTTTTGTAAGAAGCTAACTAGATAAATAATTTTGGTTTTGATAGTTTTTGGAAATTTTACTGTTAGTTAGGTGAGTCCCTTGGAACTTATAAAAATCTACTCTAAAGATTTCTGTAATGTCATCAAGTACAAGGATGGTAAATGAAAAACCACAATTCTGTAATCATTTTATCCTAGAGGAAATTACTGAATTTCTCAAAGCTTTAATTTTTTCCACCTGTCTTTCCTATCTTTTATGGTTGAATTGGAAATATAGTTGCTGGGATTGGAGTGGTAGTCGGAAGGGATAAAGATCATTGTGTAAGTGAGACAGTGTTCTGTTTTCCCTGAAGAGTTTGGTTGGGTTACAGATTGACAGTAAAGGAAAATTGCTTTCAGCGTCATGTGAAAAGAATGACTTCTTATTAATATTCTTAAACCTCAAAATAGCCTGTTTTTCTTAAATGTCTTTTTGAAGTGTGGGCTAAAAATTCCTTAACATGTATTCAAAACTAGTGTCCTGGGTGTGATATAAGACACTAAAGCTGCAGGGTCTGTGATGTGTACATACTCTGCAAAGAAACAGACAGCTTCTTGGAAAAAGAACCAGCTGTGCAAGTGAAGATCTGAAGGAAAGAAGTGAAGTAAGTGATGATCTGACAGGAAATAGAGGAATTATAAAACTATCCAAGATATAGTGGATAAAGGAAAGGGACCCAGGATATTTTCATTTTTCATTGAGACTCAGTAGAGGACTCTTGGATAAAGCTGTCAGGGTGGAACAAAAAACATAACATTGCAAGAAACAGCAGCATAAAAATTTAAAAGGGAGACAAATTTATTTTTTAAAAAACCTGGAAAAGACCAAATCCAAAGGATAAAAGAAAATTTGAATTTTCTGTGAATGTTTTCTATTGTAGAACAAATTGAGTATGGGAAGATGGCAACAGTGCCATAGGTTTTTAATCTCCAAACTCCCAACACTGGATGGCAAAATCAAAATACTAATGAACAGCATTTCAACAAATTGAGATGACATTTTATCTTAAATCCCAAAATACATGTGGATGAAGACAAGCCACCAAAAGCCACAAGACTGCAGGGTGATACTGCCATCTGTTTGAGAGAAGCAGAGGGTGACAATAGGGCATCTAATGCACCTGAGAACAGAGCTTATATAGAATAACTGTTGAAAAACACAGCAAGCCAAGTTACAAACAGCATTTGAAACTGGGAGAGGCTTTGAGCATTCCATGGTAAGTGAGTGCAAGACGTCTACAGTAATGTTTGAAGGACTGAAGCAATGTAGTCCATGTGCACTTTTGAAATGATTTGTAGAGGGGACAGGGTTCCCCACAGAAGAGAAAGTGCTGGGAGTGAAACCAAAACTGAGCAATAGAGCGACAATAGACACAGAGGAAGAAAAGGTTACATACAAGTGGATGGAAAACTAGTTGACCAAGAAATCTCAGAAGAATACTGTTTTTGAACACTGAAAATAAACAAACAAATAACTGAGGTTTCTGAAGTTCCTGTGAACCATGCCTCCTTCTCAAAGTTTAAGAAAATTTTACATGAAACCACAGAAAAGTTTCTAGATCAATCTCTTAAAAAATTAATTTTAAAAGGAATCAAGAGTAGAATAACATCTTTTCAAATAATGAAAATCTACGAGAAAGGCCCACAGAGCATATCAAAACCAGTCTATTTTAAAATGTGCTTAAAGTTATTAAGAAAATGATACAGGATATGAAGGAAATTAAGAATTGGAAAAACTCAGAAAAAAGTAAACTCAGGAAAGCATTAGAAATCAACATTTCAGATTTTAAGGCTAAACTATAAGAAACACAAGTGAATAAACATACAGATAGATAATGCCTTAAAAGAAATAGGTAAAAATCAAAACAAAATGGGAAAAAAGACTAAAAGATTAGGAAGTGACAAATATTGAGGATGGGGCAGAAGGTTCAATATAAAAATAATAGGAGTCTCCAAAGCGGGGGGAACCTATAATTTCAGAAAATAATTTGAAAAGATTTTGAGACAATGTTTTTTAAATGCACCCTTATACATAAGAGGTTATTGATCTAAAACAGCCAACACCAAGATATAAGTGATGAAAGGAGAAATTCTTTTGGGTAAGCAAGAACAGCAAGTAACATGTAAGAAAAAAAAGGTGGTCATCAGACTTTTCCGCAAGTATTCTTTATGCCTGAGGAAAATGGAGTCACATTTTTAAGATAATCATGGGAAAATGTAAGCAAAGGATTTTACATTCAACAAAGTTGACTTTCAAGTACAAAGAGCACGAACTTACTTACTGAACAAGAATTCAGGAAATATTTCTCCCTCAAGCTCTTCCTCAGGAATCAGAAAATAACCAAAATAACCAGAGAAATAGCACCATAAAGATTGATGATGACCATCAAACATAGTGACTTGTCCAATTAAAAGTGAGAGCTAAAAGGGAGAGTATGATATGCAATGGCTGTACGTCCATATGACAGGTAGTACAACTGAAGGGGAGAGACCATACCCAACCGTTGTTTAAACTGCCGTTAGTCTGATACTGTTTTAGGACTTTTGTGTATATACTGTGGGATAGAATAAATGAATATTTATAGGCTATTTTAATTCAGCCCCAATTATCTTGAGAACCAGAATTCTTCCCACCCCCACATGCCTCAAGATTCTTAATGTCAGAAAAAGGAGATGAAGATAAAATACAAAACAAATTACTTTAAAAAAAAGTGTAGTTGTGAACTTGAATTGGGAGTACTGATAGAAACTGATGAATGTATATACACACATACTATATATACACATATGTGACATGTATATATTTCACACACACACTGAAGAGACCAAGAAAAACTTAACCAGTCCAGTACCAATGAGCATCCTTATTGTAGTCATCCCAGCTTGTAGTCAAAATGCCATTTTTCATTGAAAGAAATTAGAGCTGCTTGAAAGTATCAAAGGCAAGCCTGGGGTATCTTGTTAAAACAGGCTATTACTACTCGGTAATTTCAGAATGACAGGAGACAGCGGAAAATGTTCTCACCGTCTAAACATGGGGGAAAATTTGATCTTGAAAAGACAAGAATTACGATTTATTGGAACCCATCATAAACATTTTTAAAAACTAGTCACCTTCAGAGGATAACAGAGTATCAATTCATTATCTTGAATATGGGGAAATACAGGAGAAAAATCAGGCATTTTCCTCTGTACTATACAACTGATTAACCAAACAGAAGACGGTAAGTCTCCTTTTAGTGTTCTAATAATGAAAAAGAGAGAATATCGCCATTTTAACCTAGTGGATTAATGGATTTAGGCGTTGAGCATCAGCTACTATTAACATAATCAGACATTTTATGCCTCTTAATGGAAAAACTGGACATCCTCTGTAGTCTTGCCAAAGAATAGGAGATGAGTCTGATCACTCTTCTGGATCCAGCTACCGAATTGCAGGAAATACAGAGGACAGAGGAATTTGTGGAACTAGGGCATGAGTGTGCAGTTAGCAAAATCCAGACTGCAAGGAACTACAGATTAAACGCCCTGGGATTTTCAACAGATAAATTGCAAGGAAAAGGATGGAGGGGAGAATTCCATGTTTTTAAAAAAAGCACAAAACTAAACTAGATTATTTAGGGATGCATACTCTGGTGATTAAAGAACAGAGAAATACAAGGAAGCTGTAACTATAAAATTCAGGGTGGTGGCTATGGAGCGGGGTTTCAGGGGGTGGTTGGACATTGATATTAGGACAAAGCATATGGAAGGGATTCTGGGAATGACTGGCAGTTTTATTCACTAGGTAGGATATTTTATGACAGTGTCTTATAGTAGGTTTGTCTTATAATAATATAACTTATTAAGCTGTCCATATCATAAATTAAGGTGTTGGCCTTGTAATTTATTAAGCCATTTAGTTGTGTGGTGGTCCATATTTTCTGTTTTACAACAATTTTCATAGTACTAGTATTTCATCAAATTGAAGATGTAATTGGTTGTAAGATGCATCATCCTTTTATGTACCATTGAAAGAAAAAAATCCATTATATTGACACTCTATCAAGGTACACACTATTCTCAAAAATGTTGAAATGTGTACCTTAGAATAAAGGAACTGCAGCAATTAGATGCCACATATTCTGTCCCTCATGCACAAAATCAACTATCTTCATTTCCCAAGGTTAACTCCCTGGACAGTTGGCTCCAGGCAGCCTGTGATCTTGAAAGACAGGAAGCATAGCTGAGGGGAAAATGAGGTACAATGTTGCTGAAAAGAGGAAATAAAGTGGAAATAAGCTGAGCAGTATGATCCCCACCCCCGTTTTCCTGTGAAGCTCCATTCTCTCTTCTTTGGGGATTCCAATTGCAAGTATGCTGGACTGCTCAAAGTTGTCCCTCAGCCGTTAGTGCTACTATATTTACTTTCTACTGTTTTTCTTTTTCAGTTTGGTTAATTTCTGTGAACCTATTTTCTGCTTAACTAATTCTTTCCTTCACTCTTCATCTCTGTCGCTGTGTTTTGTGTTTTTATTTCTAGCATTTCTATTTTACTGTTTCTCTCTCTCCACTGACATTCCCAGATCTGCTCATGCACGTATTATCCACATTTTATAACACAAGGTATATTAACCATAGTTATTTTAAATACCTTTTCTTGTATTTCCAACGTCTGGGTTATCTGAATCTGGTTCTGCATCTTGTGTCTTGACAGTGTTTTCTTTTTCCCTGTTCTCTGTGTGCATGTCTCATATTTTTTATTCATTTAACTGCTGGACGTTGATATACAACAGTAGTGACTGAAGTAAATGATACGCCTGGAAGTGGACATTGGTAAGTCTAGTCAGGAGTTTAACTGGTTGGGGTTTGTTATTGCTATGACAAGTACACCAGTGACTTCAAATTCCTCTAGTGTAGTGCCAGGGTTTTCAGTTCTGTCTGTTTTCCAGTGTTCCTGTTCTATCCTCAGTTTTTAACCTTCCTGACGCTCTCGTGACTCAGAAGCGTTCCATCTCCAAGCCCTCGCCCCTCTCCAGAAGTAGACTATTGTTGCTCAATTCTTGTTGCATGTTTAATGACTAGATGCAACCTGGGGTTAATGTCAATTATATTCGACTTTACAATCCACTACACAATAAAAGCATTATCCCCTTTTGTTTCTCAACTCCCAGCAAGTTCCTGGCAATATGGTCAGTGTTCCACATTCTTGGTAAATAATGTCTGGCTATCAGGCACTGTATATTATACAGCACCTGAAGTCTTCCCAGACACATTTCAGTGTTTGACACTTGTAGACTGACTCATGGTTTAAGGGAGGCAGAAGAATTGAATTCCAGATAGGAATCAGAAGACTTCATTTATAATTCTGACCTGCCTCAAACTCTTAAATGACCTTGGGTAAACCACCGAACCTTTGTCGTCTTCTTTTTTCTCACAGGACAAACACAAGGGGTTGACCTCTAATTCAGAAATTAATAACTCCAACATTCTGTGAACCAAACAGTAAATTCATTTATGAGTAACCTTTTAAAAATTATTCCAAAAGCTCCACAAGAGGGCAGCTCCTCCACATTGCTTAATGTCGGAAGAGCATTCCATACGCCTTTAAGTCTATTTAAAAGCCCACCCTCTTATACAGTATTTTACTTTTATTTCTCTTAACTATACAAGCAGGGCACAAATATATTCATACTTGGAAAAATCCCAACATTACAGATCAACTTCTAGCTTCTTGATTCATACCCCCAATCCTAGTCTTCCCTATTGTCAGGTTGTTGAGTATTTTATTTCTTTATGAAGTTTTGTTTTGCGTGACTTCTTTAAAACGTGATTTCTGAAACTGACTCTTAAAAAATCCACATAGGATTTGAAGGGTTGGAGGTATAGCTCAGGTGGTAGAGTGCATGCTTAGCATGCACAAGGGCCTGGGTTCAATCCCCAGTACCTCCTCTAAAAATACATAAATAATCCTAATTACCTCCCTCTCTCCCTACATAGGATTTGAACATCTTCTCCTGTTAATATATATAGATTAATTTACCTTTAATGACCCTTTTTAACTCCATAAAATGCATGTCATAATTTACTTATTTCTTAATGACATTTAGATGATGTTTCCAGCATTCAAACAATGTTGCATTAAACATTTACTGAATTTGGGGGAAAAGTGAAGAACCTCTCTTAACAGTAATTAAGATTTCAAAGCTAGTTTATTAAATCAAAGTAGGAATGTTTTAGTAATTTTACTAGCCATAAAAATATGTAAAGTCAGTTCATAGAAAGGAAGCTAGAAGAGGGAGCAATACTTGACAGCCTTTCCTGGAAGCATTTAGGTTTACTCTGTTCCATGATGTCAATCATTCTGGGATACCATTCCTGGTATGGCATTTCACAGGTATATTTTTGTCTTCGGTGAGATTGGACCTGAGCAGCAAATGGCCCAATCAATGCAGAACAGAGGCAAGAAAGGAATGCTCAAAGGTGGCCACCCCGTGAGGGAAAGTTCTGTCTTGGTTACCTCTGTATCTTCTACAGTGGGAAGGAAATGTCTGATGACAATGAGCCAGAACCATTTATATGTCATGTACACAACAAAAGTTAAATACACACACGTCTGGTGGTATTAATGGGATATGAAGAGGGGAGGGTATAGCTCAGTGTTAGAGCGTGGGCTTAGCACGCAGGAGGTCCTGAGGGCCAGATGGACTCTTGACTCGTTTAACCTCTTTTGGCCTTAATGCACTTCTGGTCTTCTCACCGCCCAGGAATTCTGAGGTTCATATAGGATACTGGTGAGAGCTTGCATGAAAGGCTAAGTGATAGCTTACCAGGTGCAAATGACCAATCCTACCATGATGGTGACACAGATTAAGCAGGGTTTGAAAACTGCAGCGAAGGGTGGCCAGTGGGAAATGTGTCTCCTTGCAAGGTCCCTCAGCATGAAGTCCAGAGTGGCATAACTGCCTGATGTGCTTAAACTTGTAAAGTCCTGGGCCACGCTTCGCTGAGTCTGCGTGGAGGCTTCCTGCCTCCTCCAGCCCTGAGCCTCCCCTGCCAGGGTGCTGGGTGTGGCTGGCGTGCTGCTTCCTGCTGGACGCTGGGAGAGACAGACCCTAAGGCTTCCTGCGCCCTCTGTGCTCTCCCGTTAGGGTTGGGACCCTCTGTGTGCATTTACCTAATGCTCTGCTCCATCAGGTCAGTAACCACAGGTTAGAAGCTCACAAGGGTTTTATCTTAGAGCAAGTACTTCTGTAAACCGTGCTTCCCTCGGTGGTTGACTGGGGAAAGTCAACATATTTGTAAAGTTTTTTGTTAGTTTGCTCTTTTCAGTTATGTAAATATTTACTCTCTGGCTGAGCTGATGGCAAAATCCATACTTCGAAGCTACTTTATTTGGTGTGATTTGTTAATTAAACAAATATCTTTTCCGCATATGTCTGTTACATTACTCTATGCTAAAGAATGTGAAGTGTGTCATCAGAACAGAAAGCCCGAATTTGGTAGTCAGGGAAGGCTTCCTGGAGGACATGACATCTAACCCTAAAGGATGGCTTAGAAGTTATCCAGGTAAAGAGAGGAAGGAAGACAGTCAGAGGGAACAGTAAGAAACGCTGGAAGAACTGAAATTCAGTTATTATGCAGGAAATGGGAGAGAAAAAGTTGGAAAGATGGCTTTGGTGTCCAATTAAGATGATTAGAATTTATCTTGAGGTAAGATAAGGACATTAAACATTTTAAGGAGGAACGTGCCCATGATCAGATTTTAGTTTTAGAAAGATTACTTGTAAGATACACCTTGAAATGTTAAAGGAGGAATAAGAAAGCTTCTACTTTTGGAAAGAATCACTTGTCTGTAAGGAGGTATGGAAAATCTAAAGGAATTTAAGGAGGGGACCATTGCAAGGTTTTAAGTCAGAGAGTGACAAGATGAGATAAGCATTTAAAAGAATCTCTCCCCTAAAAGGAGTTGAAAATATATATATATGGTTAATTCACTGGGGAGCCAGAGGAAACTTAGTGTCAAGGGGAGAGTCAAGTCCTCCACCATGTCTGCCCTCCGCTTCATCTGCCAGCGCTGCAGCCAGCCCCTGAAACTGAGCTGGTCCATGGAGACTTCCCGAGAACCTGCAGACTCGACACTCGTCTCAGCTGAGGGGGAGCCAGGAGAAGCCCAGGAGGGAGGCCCTCCCTTCACGGAGGAGGCAGATTTTGAAAATCTACAGGATGGTGCCTCTAGCAGGATTCTCCCTAGCGGTGGGATGTCCTGGGACCAGTTCAACAATTTCACCCTTCTTGGGAATCTCGGCTCCCTGAGAACCCTCAATAACATCCAGAAGGCCATCGGGGACATTTCTGACATCCTCTCCGGGGAAACTGACGTGAACCACCCTGTGTGTGTGGACTGTACTGACAATCTTTTAGAGCAACTGGACGCTCAACTCACCATCACAGAATCTGAGATTCAGAACTACAAACGCTGTTTGGAGACCAGGGAGTGGATAAGTGAGGATGACAGGGAGATGCTGCAGAAGAAGCTGAAGGACCTGGAGCTGGAGGAAGCGAGGCTGGTCCGGGAGCTGGAGGGGGTGGAGCAGAACCGAGAAAGGGCAGCAGCAGACCTCGAGGCAGCCCAGGCAGAAACAGAGATGCTGGACCAGCAGGAAAAGCAGCACCAAAAGGACTACAGTACATTGAAATGGCAACAACTAGAACTACATGACGAGCTGAGCAGCGTGGAGAAGCGCCTGTGGTACGCCCAGATCCAGCAGGACCAGCTGGAGAAAACCAGCGTCTTCCATGCCACGTTTGAGATCTGCCATGATGGCCCCGTAGGCACCATCAGTAACTTCAGATTGGGCTGCCTCCGCACCGTCCCCACGTGCTGGGATGAGATTAATGCCGCCTGGGGACAGGCAGCCTTGCTGCTCCTTGCTCTGTCCAATACAGTCGGACTGGAGTTTCAGAGGTATCAACCTGTCCCCTGTGGAGACCATTCCTATCTGAAATCTTTAACAGACGACCACACTGAACTGCCCTTGTTCTCTAATGGGAAGCAGAGTGTTTTCTTGCATAACAAATATGACCAGGCGATGATGGCTTTCCTGGACTGCATGCAGCAGTTCCAGGAAGCGGCTGAGAAAGCTGAGTCGGGTCTCTGTTTCCCCTACAAGATTCATGTGGAGAAAGGCCTGATGGAAGATCCTGGAGACAGTGATGGGTTCTATTCCATCAGAACCCACTTGAACACAGAGGAGGAGTGGACAAGAGCCCTCAAGCTTATGCTTATAAATTTTAAGCACGGTCTCACTTGGGTCTCCTTAAGGTATCGTGCAAAATAACTTTTTTTTTCTAGGAGGGAGAGGTTTTTTGTTTGTTTTAAAGTATTTTTATTTGTGACAGTGTTATCAGATAAATTTTAAAACTGAAGAATATAACATGTTTATACTTTTAAAAAGTGAATGGCCACACAGGCACTAATTTAAGATGAATTATTGTCCAGGGCAAACCAGAAGTCATTGCTATCCTCCCCAGCACATCCTTGTCCTCTGTCTCCCCTTCTTCCTAGACAAAACAAATCAAGAATGACAAAGATGAAACCACAAGATGACAAGATGATTCCGCCATTAAAGAGATAATGAATACGGAGAGAACTGAGGGTGGGGTGAGAGGAAGAGGGTGGTAAGGAGAGAGGTGGAAGTCTTCATTTTTTTATGAGAAAAGTACTTGGGCCATTGTTCGTAGTGGGACTTTGGAGTCAGGAGGTGAATACTAAAAGATTTTTCAGTCTTTGCTGTGATGTATAGTGTAAACCCCTCCTCTTTATCCCAGAAAAATTGTCAGTAAATTTCTACACTTCGTTCAATGATTTAAAGTGAGAAGTGTGTCATTGGGCTGCGCCGAAATGTTTTGACACTAACCTGGAGATGAGGGGTGGTGGTTGAAAGGACTGGTAACATTTCTGCTGATTATTCTAATGGTCAGGTAGGGGTCACAAGGTGAACCCTTACAGAGAGCTGATGATTGTAAAATCAGCCAGAGGGCTTCTTAAAACTAAGAATTGTATGTCATTTACCTGCTTCTCCATTGCTCTCGAAATAAAATCCCAAATTCTTACCATGGCTTTCAGCCCGGGTGATCAGTCCTGCCTGCCTCTCGGGGCTCATCTCATCATTTATCCCAGCTCCTTTCTGTTCCCAAACATGCCAAGTCCAGCCTCCCTCAGCCCTTTGCCCACGCTCTCCCCTGTGTGTCTTCTAACTAAACTACAAACTTCCTGAGAAGTTAGCGGAAGTAGTCCAGGTAGTGCCTAGAACAGCCTCTCATACGTACATCTGTAAGTAGAAGTCATTGTGGAAAATGAGAACAGAAAGGTAATTAGTTTCTCAGACTGAGAAATAATAGAAAAATCCTAGGAGATTGATTAAATGAATTAAGTTCTAAGCATATGGTGGAATATCATGTAGGTATTAAGACGTTACAGAAGAATAATTACATAATATTTTTAAATGCTTATTATATGTTAAGTAAAAAGATTAAGTTATAAAATGTAACAAAAACTATTTAAAAGTATTTAGAGAAAAAATAACTCCAAGAATATAGATACCTTGAATATATGAAGGTAATTCCATGAAAATTATTTAAAAAAATAAAGCTTTCCACTTGAGATGAGGAAAGATGCAAGATACTGGTTTCCAGTATTTCATTTAACATGTATTGGGGATTCTAGCTAGTGCAATAGATTAGAAATGAAAGGTATAAAGATTAGAAGGGAAAAAATCAATATATTATTTGTGTATGACATAACTGTATAGTGATACCTCAATAATCATCACATAAATGATTAGAATTTTTAAGTGAATTAAAAAATTTACTGACTACAAAGTCAATTACAAAAATCACATGTATTTCTATACACAAATAACAATTAGAAAAAGAATTTTTAAATAGTTCAAATTGTTAAATTCCTAAGGATAACCTAACAAAAAGCCTTTTGTGTGGAAAATTGTGTTCTCAATCACATTTAGAACAGGAGTTTGCAAACTTTCCCTGCAACAGGCCAAATGGTGAATAGTTTAGGATTTGGGGTCCATGTGGTCTCTGTTGGTACTACTAAATTGAGGCAACTATTTGATTGTGCTGTTATAGCATAAAACCAGCCACAGAAAAGATGTAAATGAATGGGCATAGCTATGTTCTAGTGAAACTACGTTCATCAGAACAGGCAGCGAGCTGCATTTGGCCTGTGGGCCACAGTTTTCTGACTCCTGCTCTAGAGGGTAGACTCCATCCAGTCATGGACTGTGTCAATCATGTTTGTAGCTATGTCTCTGACAGCCTGCACGATGCCTGCTGCAGGCTAGATGCTCTGTGAATAGCTGAATGAATAAATCATGGAATTATACTGAGTAGTGAGATTATGGGAAATGCTATTTTTTTCTTTGTGGTTTATAAATATTCTCTGGCATACTTGTATCTGTCCTATAATAAAAGAAAGTAAGAGATGTGAATAGACATCAAGTCAACCTGCTGCTACATTATCCTGCTTCACTTTGTGGCTGTCTATCTCCATCCCCTACTTCCCATCCCCAAATTTCTCACATAGGCACATATTTTCCATTGAAGTCATTTGAGTGGCAGAAACTACTAGGCCAAGAGATTTTAGGCACCAGAAATAAAAGGTAAATCAGTTTATTTATTTATTTATTCACTCATTCTTTTTTTTTTTTAAATTATTGAAGTATAGTCCATTACAGTGTGTCAGCATTTCTGGTGTACAGCATAATGTTTCAGTCATACTTTCATGTTCTTTGTCATTAAGGGTTACTGCAAGATGTTCAATATAGTTTCCCATGCTATACAGACGAAATTTGTTTTTTATCTATTTCTATATATAGTAGTTAATATTTGCAAATCTCAAACTCCCAGTTTACCCCTTCCCACCTCCTTTCCCCCCAGTAACCATAAGATTGTTTACTATGTCTGTGGGTCTGTTTCTGTTTTGTAGGTAAGTTCATTAGTGTCTTCTTTTTTCTTTTTTTAGATTCCACATATGAGTGATATATGGTATTTTTTTCTCTTTCTGGTTTACTTCACTTAGAATGACACTCTCAGGTCCATCCATGCTGCTGCAAATGGCATTATTTTATTCTTTTTTATGGCTGAGTAGTATTCAGTTGTGTAAATATACCACAGTTTCTTTATCCAGTCATCTGTTGATGGCCATTTAAGTCGTTTCCATGGCTTGGCTATTGAATATAGGGCTGCTGCATTCATTTATTTTGTGTTAAGAACAGTTAACATGAGATCCAACCTCCTTGAATTTTAAGTGTATAGGACAGTGTTGTATAAGCACAGTATTGTGCTGTGGATCTCTAGAACTTAATCACCCTGCACAGTTGAAACTATACCCACTGAATAGCAACTCTCTATTTCCCAATTCCCTTGGCCCTTGGCAACCACCATTGTACTCTGCTTCTGTGTGTTTGACTCTTCTAGATTTCTTATATGAGTGGAACCATGCAGTACTTGACCTTCTGTGACTGATTTAGATAAATTACTTTTAGAAAAAAGAAGTTCTAGGCTACGAGAAGTAAGATCTGGAACAAGCTGCGCCAGCATCACCTAGGAGCATACAGGAAATGAACACTGTCAGGTCCTGCTAGGAACAACTTCCTAAATCACAGTCCTTTTAACAGAGGGAGCATCTGGAACAAAAAGAAAAAAGCATGGACAGGCAAACAGCAGGAGCTCAGCAGGGCTGCGACTCACTGTGTGCTTCACTGGGAGTATTGCTATTGACACAGAAAAGATGGAGACGGAGGAAAGAGCACTGTCTTGGAGGGTCATCAATAACACGCCAAGGAGTTTGGATTTCTAGTTGGTGCAGAGCCTTCAAACCATTGCCCCCCCCCCCACACACACCCCTTGGTCACAGTAGACCAACCACCAGAAGTCACAGACTTGCATTTTAGAAGGGTGACAGCAGAAGCAGTGTAGACTGTTGAGGACTGACCACTCATTCAGGCAGCATCTCCGCAGGTGGGATGTCCTCAAAAACATCAGCCCTAGAAACTCTTGTGGGGGAAATCACAGGTGACAGAAAACTAGGTCAATAAACAAGCAAGGAAGAAAAAGTTTCCAGAAAGTCAAGAAAAGAGTAAAGAAAAGTAGATTTTTGTTGCTTTTTTTTTTAATTAAAAAAAAATTAGGGAGGGGTAATAGGTTTATTTATTTATTTCTTAATGGAAGTGCTGGGGATTGAACCCAGGACCTTGTGCATGCTAAGCACGTGCTCAAACACTGAGCTACACCCTCCCCCTGATTTTTGTTGCTTTTGATAAGAGAACTTTCAGAGTGCTGATGGTGAGATCCAACCAGCAGTCGGTAGAAGAGTAAAAGAGAAGTAGAGATAGCGAACATGGGCAATTCTTTCGAGAGCTTTGATCATGGGGGAGGAATACCAATAAAGCAGAGGACTTTAAAACTGGGACAGATCTGAGAATTTTTACAGTATTAAGAGGAAGAATGTAGCAGAGAAAGATTAAAAATAAAGTGTGTGCATGAGGGTGGGGTGAGGGCTTACATAAACTGACCATGTGAGGGGAGAAGTAAGTCTAATCAGGAAGGAAATGGAGAGGACTATTCAGAACAGGAGGAAACACAGCTTTGGGAGGCTAGTGAGAAGGAGGGAGGAGATGCGAATGTGGATCATTTATAACAGGTGCAGGTTGTTGGCAAGAAGTAGTTCAGGCAACTTGGAGGAGGAACTGGGGAGAGCATGTTAACCTGGTGGTGAGGGGAATTGGGGTGGAGAAGGCGACTGTAAACCAAGGTGGGGTACATGTGTCTTTTCAAATTATATTTTACCCTGGACATATGCCCGGGAGTGGGGTTACCTCAGATTCTTCCTTCTGATCTTGAATCTCAATGTAGTCCTTTCTCTGTGATCCCCGGAACCTTGTTCCATGCTAAACTTCCGGACTTCTTGCACCGTCCAGTGCCCTTCTACTCCCCATCAGTCACTGAGGGCTTCAGACACGGAAACCGGGCAAAGGCAAATGTACAGTGATCCTGGTAACAAAAATAAAATTGGTCACAGCTGTTAGCCGTAAGAGAGGGAAAAGAGAAGAAGCAGATTTCACTTTTACATGCTTTCATCACAGATCGTTAAAACACACTTTGCTCTCATTAATTCATTCCTCAAGCACCACGCTAAGGGTGCAGTCACCCACTTCCTGGGCAATATCGTCAGCTCAGTGACTCGGGATTAGGAGAAAAAGGAACAAAACATTCCATAGCCATTGACCATGGTACTAAATATTGCAAACTCATTTGAACCCCTAAATTCTCCTTACAACAAAATGATTAGAGCAGCTGTGCCTGGTGCTTTCTGAGGGCAGGGCTTCCTGGCTGTCGTGTTCATTGCTGTGACCCACTGCCAAGTCCGGGGTTTTGCCCACAGCAGGTGCTCGGTCAGTTGAGTGAATGGGCCTTCAGTGAATGGTAGCAACTGTTACTATGTGTAGTTTGCCAATGCCTTCTCACCAAGGTACTGACGAAGCAGCTCCAACTAGTCCTGCATCATGGGAATGAATGTTCTCCGATGACTTCCTCGGTCACTAATATTCTTTCATTCATGCCACACATATTTTTTGAGTGATTCTAGAATGCTAGGAGCTGTGCCAGATGCTGGATATTCAGAGTTGATGAATTTCCAGCACATGCAGTCATTGAATTTATAGTCTGTGGAGGCAACAGAAATGAAACAATTCACAAAAGAGAACTGGCCTGCAATGGTGACAAGGACGTGGAAGAGGGGCTCAGAGTGTTCAGAGTCTAGGGCAGGGAAAAAGAAGAGAAGAGAATGTGTAA